TCTTTTTTCTGGTCGGGTGTAACAGAGCTGGTTTGTCGAGCAGCTATTGGCCAACCGAGAAACTGCGGTGGATTCGCATTTCCATCCGTCTCTGTTCGCTGCCGGCTGCTTGCCCTACGATTCTTACTTCGGTTATGGCACGGTGATCAGTGCCCCGCGCGTGATCTTGCGTGCTATTTCTTAGGCACCAAGTTACGCTATTTACTACCAGATGCACGGCTTAATTCAGCACCGCAAACAATTAACGTGCCTGCATTTTACTCAACGGCAGTAGCATTTTATCGGCACGCGCAGCAAGTTTGTCTCGATGTGGACTTTCTCGAAAGCCGCATTGTAGATACAACGGCGGCTCTTCTGCTTTCTCTGGTTCCTCCAGCCCGTCTATCGCGATCGAGGAATGTCTCGTGGAGCGCGATAACGGCATTGTTTTTGTCTGGTCACCAACGTGACTTTATGTGGCGTCTTGGATGGAGAGTACTCCCAACACAGGACACACTGGAGAAGTGGGGCATGGTCCCATCTTCCACTTGTCCTAACTGCCCGTTGCAGAAGTCTAACCAGCATATGCTGCAGCAATGTGTTATTGCAAATGTGTTTTGGAAGTCAGTTAACACTAGTTTTCATGGCCTAGGTGTTAATCGCTTTGTAACATCTGGTCGCTGCTCGCGTAGTCGTTTTGCACGCCTTCTAATAGTTGCGGGAGCTTTTCGTTTGTGGCGTAATAGGTGCGAAGCTGTTGCGGCAGGTCATCGTCGTCGTGCTCTTTTTCCAATTCTGGGACGCCTCTACTCTAAACTCTGTAGCGTTTCTGTCGGAGGAATTGTTCTTCCTTGGGGAGGAAGAATTTCTGCGACAATCGTCATGCCGCTTTCTGTCCGTAGTTGACAGACGCGTTCGATTAGAATTCTGCCTGGCCTGGTTCCTATAGCAAGGCCACCTGTCAATGTCTGATTAGTGCATGTAATCAGCATGTGTTCACTATTTCTATGTGTTTGTGTATGCCCCATATGGGTGTGAGCTCTTCTATATATGCACTTCAATCTAACGCTGTAAGTTATGTAATTTTTGTGAATATTGATACCTGTTGTTTTTTAACATCTTCACCAAGTCTTGTAAATTCTGTACATATATCGTCATGTACATTGTCTATATTGTGATTAGTGTATTAATGTAGTGTGTGTAGTTATTAGTACCGTAGACTATGGAGTCCTTCGGACGTGGACACTTTTGTTCAAATGTTTAATGTATGTTGTGCTTGGTCTTTTGTTTGTTATTGTGCCTGTTGTACAGACGCTCGTACCTTAGGATTGTTGCGTCCAAGGAGAATAAAAGAAAAAGTACTGTAGTAGAAGCTGCTGCATTGCATTGCCAGCAGAAGTGACGCCAGCTTTTGCCACTGCCAAGATGGCGGAAACATGCTCTTTTATGATAGTGCTCACTTGAAGATCAAGTGGCTTCGATATGTTATGTAAATGCTTCGTTAGTTCTATATTAAAAGATAGTTGTTCCCGACAAAATAACCTACAGAAACGAGTATGGATGACTGAATCTTCAAAGAACTTTGCCTCCCATTAGAGGCTGACTAAGGAAAACTAGTAACTGTAAGACGCACTTGGAGCACTTCGTGACCCGAAAAAGTTCCCACATTAAACTCGTTGGGCGTGCAAGGGTAACGCCCCGTTTTTAATCGCTGAACGGTGACGCTTTATCGTGCCCCTTGGAAGATGGCCGCCACAGCCACCATCTTGCCAGAGGAACGGCTTCACTTCTGTGCAACCATTTCCACTCCAGCAAAATTTTTAAATCCTTCTTGGTTGCGTCTTATGATAGAATAAACTTTTTCTAAACACTTACCTGGTGCCGGGGTAACCGGGGCTCACGGGACGGCTTTAGGCTCTCCCATAGTAGAGCACCAAGTACTCTAAATCGTTTACCCTTTTAAATGCGAAGCATTTCTTAGCGAACCAAAGTTGTGTGTGAACAACACTATGCCTGGATGGATAATTTAGCTACGAAGTTCTTCGTCATTTATATGGTGGTCGTTTTTGAAATCGAACTTTCCCAGGCATAGAGTGACTCTTAGGTGGTAGCCTCAAGTATTTGAAAAGCACCCGCGGAACTGCGCAGCGAGAAAGACGTTGGTTTGGCTTTAGAAACAACGCTTAATAAATGCGAAGTGTTTCTTGGCAAACTTCGGCGACTTTGAGCGTGTCGATTTATCTATCTATGTATCTATCTATCTATCTATCTATCTATCTATCTATCTATCTATCCGCATACGCTTGGGTGCTCTCGTGGTCACCCCCTTAAGTTGGCGTGAACTAAAATTAGAATGGGAGGGTAAGATGGTTTGAGAGTATGACGCGCTGGTCAAGACATGAATAATGTCACAATCCCGTCGCGTACGTCGTCAAACACTTCCCGCCAGAGAGTGGCCCATACCCATTGGCGGTTGTGTGCCGATGGTGTGCGGGTATGTGCCGCAGGTGATTTACACTTAGTATCTACCCAGGAATGTCTAGAACAAACATTGAATAATTGAAACGTGAGCGTTAAGAAATACTTGACATTGCTAGCGTCTACGTGACGGATGCAAAAAGTAAATGTCAGGGTTCCTGCAGGAATCTATCCTGAGAATTCTGCGTAGAATTGAAGCATTTTGCCACAGAGCTCCACGAGGCCTCGGAACTCCTTTTCAAATAGACGCTAATCTTCGTGAAACGCAAATAGTGGTTGCAGTGCTTCCAACCCGATTTTATAAGCATTACGTATGTGCTCCTTTAATGCAGCCGACACGTCGGGTTAACGTCAATTGTGGTTAGTTGCCATGCGCTGAAGTTGATTTATGTAGCCGTGTTCACAGCCAGCATCTTCGCGAGCATCAGCGCTTCATATCAGCTTCTGGTGTTGCTAATTCGCATGTTCCAGTTGGCATCGTTACGCAAGTGCGAACAACTGGTTATATAAACATTTACATCCCTTCAACACATATCTGTGCGTGCTACATTTGTACATATTTATGGCCACTTCATGACGTTTCACTTAATAAAAAAATTTCAACACGGTCACCTTCCCTCCGAATGCTTCGCATAAAGTCGATTTCCATGTACGTGGGATCTGCCGAATTTTTTTCATAAACACATGGCACTCAACGACGGCCAACCGCCGATTTATATCGATCACCCAGCGGCATCGCTGCTGGATGATCCATATAAATCGCTTTTTATATCTTTCAGCGGGACAGGTTCGTGCTCTCCCATAGTTGAGTACAAAGTACTCGAAATCGTTAAACATTTTTTTTCTAAACACACATTGTCATGTATATTAGAGCAATGATGTCTTCTTTTCAACGTAGTGATGTTTGTAGTGGTACATGGATGTGCCGAAGTGTATGTGTCCTTTTATTGAAATGTTATGAAACCTTTGTTTTTTGTACAAAGTGTAAATAAACGTCTTTTAAACAAATCGGCCTCCTATGTATCATTTTTTCTGGGAGGGTAAGTTACCGTTAAATTGGTGGAGCTTACATTTATTCTTAAAATGTAAAAAATGTTAAGGCGGTGAAGTGCAACTGCTGAACATTTGCTGCTATTAGTTTCGTGGCAAAGCAGTTCCAAGCCACGCGAAGCGAAACGGAGCTGAAAGTACGAAGATTAGGCAAATTCATGTACTACCCACCATTCCCATGCTCGCTGCAGTGCTATGCCTTGCGGCTCCCTTAGACGCTAGTGCAAGACTTCCCTCTAGTGCATTTATAGGAAACTGTATGCCCACGTAGGCCTTTTGAGTTGAACTGCCACACCGCACCGCTGCTGCGCCGGAACCGTGGGCTTTCTGCGCTTCGGAGGGTGCGGAAAGCGAGGGGCGTCTGCTAGGCGCTGTGGTTTTTCGAGGTGCGTTTTCACACACGGCACTTGAAGTCTACTTAACTTCATTATTGCGGCGCGGAATCAACCTAACCTATTTTTAAGCGTTGTGTTAGTGTGGTGGTAGGAAAAGAATGCAAAACAGTTTTGTCTCAAGCGACACCGGCACGCCTTAGTTCCGGTGAATCAGCCTGAGAACGTTGGTGCGTGCGTAAAAACACGCAAGATAAGCAGGGACGATGGAAAGAAACTTTTTCACACGAGTAATCCGGTAATTCCATCAGGCATTTAATATAGAACAGTGATAAAAGAAGGCGAGAACACGAAACAGTAAGCTTCGCTAACCAATATGGAATAGCACCACTGGTCGCCGGGTGTTTTAGAGCCGTATGCACACCGCTTTATTCGACAATTTCTGAGCCTCTTTATTACAAACATATCACATCGGAAAGACGTAGAAGACTATAAAAAAAGTTTAGAGGTAGGTGCACGATTTCAATATACTGTAGGTAGCGTAAGAAGCTCACCGAGCGCAAACCTTGAGTTCAATTCCGAAGAAAAGCAATGCCAGGTACGCTCACATTATTCTAGAAGTTGTGCTTAAACACGCAATATAGAAGCTGTTTTAACAGTATAGCCATATCTCATAAAATTGAAATTACTAGTACCCCTATTCTTGCTGTACAACTTATAGATCTGAGCGCCGATACTAAAATTGCCGGCGGCACCGCGCTGGTGTGTGCACCTTCGGTGGTGGCACGTAAACGGCGCGGGGTCTATCAGATCGGTGGCGGCGCGGCGCGCGGGCTGCCGATCCTTGATCTACTTCCTTGATCCTTGATGACTTCCTTGATCGAAATTGTTTAGTAAAAAAGTTAAATAGGGCTCAAAGAACACAGCCTTTCGGGCAAACACCCTTGCATTGGCGCGCGCAAGTGAGAAAGTGGGAAATGAAACATCAGCAGTCATACTTTGTTTTATTGAATTTGGCATACATGACTATTACGAAAATTAAAACAAGACATTAAGTTACCAAAGTAACCGGTCGTGTTTCACAAACAATCCTAATTGTTAAGTACAACCATCATTATATATGTATGTTCATGCATCAGAGGACATTTTCATTTTTTGTAGGTAAACAATGCTGGTAAATCCCAGATGGGATCTATTGAAAGTGCCTCACTGGAAGATTTCAAGGGAGTATGGGAGGTAAACTTCTGCGGAGCACTGTGTATGATGAAGAACGCGATGCCGTACCTACGTCAGACTAAAGGTAAGCATTAGGTTTCGTTTTTGAGCAACTGTACAACTTTAAATTTAGTGGCATTAACTTTCGCTACTTTAAGGAAGAAAACCACTATGGTCTGCTTTAAACAGAAAGACGAAAATAATGTTTTCCATATTCTACCGCCGGCTATTTTTGAATGCATACCTAATAAAAGGTGGCACCCTCAAGTTTTTTCTCCTTTAAGAGTTCAACGCGATAGCGATATCCTGTCCCTATAGTGTGTACTTAAACTGGATTTCGCTCGAGAAGCTTAAATTGTCGCTTGCTTTAGTATAGTCGATAAAGTTATAAATGGCTTGTGTCAGTGAAGCTTTCCCTTATGGCTGCATTATTAATAAACTTTTGGTTAGTAGGCCGGCCGGCATTCGATATGTTATTTTCCATCATTCTTCTGAGAAGCGTGGTATCCGCAAAACACTTGCAAGAAATTTTGTGTGAATTTTTCATGCAGTGACTGACGACGATGAAGAATTATGGCTGAAGTGGGTATGCGCCACGGTTAATAGGGGAAGAAGAACAAGTTTTCGTGACGGTTTGGAGCATTAGAATGGCCAATCTTTGCGCTATTCACATTGTGCGACGACTGGTTCCTATTTCGCTGTTGTAAAACGCTTTTAAGTCGTATTCACGCGATTGCTTTTCCGACATCAACCATGCCTAAGGCAAGTTTGACATGTCACAAACACTGGTGTAGCTCAGTGGTACAATACTGGGCTGGCACCTAGCGGACCCCGGTTCGAGCCCCACTGTGCCAATAATGCTAGGTCATGCCTGCCTAAGGCAAGTTTGACAACATTTATAAGCACCAGCGTAATTCAGTGTTAGAATATAAACTGCTGGCACGGAGTGGACCCGGGTTCAAGCCCCAGTATGTCATTGGTAAAAGATTTTCTATCTAATTTTGCGCGATGTGCTTACGGACACCGGTGGCGGCAGCGGACAACAACTGCGCGTGACCCGAAAAGTGATGCTGATAGCAGCTTTCGCTGTAATACACACTCCAACACGTAACAAACTAAATTTCCTAAGGTGGTTGCTTATAGAAACGAAACTCTGTTCCGTGCTTAGCGAAGTCTTAATATTTGCAAGAATGCACTCATGCTAAATAGTGGTGTACTCACCGAGAAGAGTTAAGTCGTCGTGATTGAATGGATTCGAACAAACTGTTACAGTGTCGGTCATCGTCTTTCCAGTGAGAAAGTTTCTGATCTGCGCCGTTCTCCTCTACGCGTTGTTTGAATCCTCAGGAAGTGATAGAACGATACATTGCCTTCTTTACATGGCGATAGCACGCATTGCGTCACACAGCAATGGTAATTGCACATCATTTCTTTAGGGGTGACCTTAGAGTTGGGTCGTTCCCTCCTCTGTAGTCGTAGTAGTAGTAGTAGTCACATGTATTTTACTCAATATCGCCACCTGTAGTTTACTCAATAGATGGCGTTGTGAGTAGGTGTCCTTGGAAATAATATCACTAGATGGCGTTAGTGGTTTTTATATAGTGAACAACACAACACTGTAGAATGGGAGGCCGCCCCGCCGCGGTGGTCTAGTGGCTAAGATACTCGGCTGCTGACCCGCAGGTCGCGGGTTCAAATCCCGGCGGCGGCGGCCCTTTTAACCCGGCTCGTGCCGCTTTCCTATCAAGAATGCTATGTCACGCTGATCACACGCGCGGTGCTCGTCGTGGCCCGAGAGGCGAGATAGGAGTATTCGCGGCGCAGCGGCTCGGTTAAAAGAATGGCCGTACTTTCCTAAAAATATCTAGGTATTCAGTGTAGGGTATAGTCAGGTAGAAAAAAAGCGCATTTGTTTTCAAACGCCGCTAACAACTACACACTGCTGAAAAGCCGGTGCAGGGGCCACACCGCTGAAAGCAGTTGCCGTCCACCTGGAATCTATCAAGTGACTGCAGTGTCGTGCGCTCTGTAGCCCGTTAGCTACGAACTGGTGGTTTGAATGTCCTTAAGCTTCGACAGCAAAGTATTTGCGTGAATTCGGCACCATTTTCGAAAAAAATATATATACTGAAATATTCTTTGCTGTACGCTTAGTTTGGCACACTTTGAATCTCGGAGGACATTTATTTTGTGTTTGTGAGTTGTTCCTTGCCCCGCCGCGGTAGTCTAGTGGCTAAAGTACTCGGCTGTTGCCCCGTAGGTTACGGGATCGAATCTCGGCTGCATTTCCGATGGAGGTGGATATGTTGTAGGCCCGTGTGCTCAGATTTGGGTGCACGTTAAAGAAACCCAGGCGGTTGAAATTCCTTCGCCGCGATGGTCTAGTGGCTAAGGTACTCAGCTGCTGACCCGCAGGGCGCGGGTTCGAATCCCGGCTGCGGCGGCTGCATTTCCGATGGAGGCGGAAATGTTGTAGGCCAGTGTGCTCAGATTTGGGTGCACGTTAAAGATCCCCAGGTGGTCAAAATTTCCGGAGCCCTCCACTACGGCGGCTCTCATAATCATATGGTGGTTTTGGGACGTTAAACCCCACATATCAATCAAGAATGCGGGGCCGCTCTGTCCAGCTCGAATCCAAAGACCCAAGAGGCCCTCGTGAGACGAGCGAGCACAGCGGCCAGTGCCAATGGGATCCCGGAATCCCACTCACCGACATTCCTTCCTTGCTCGCGAATAATTGTTTCATTCTCTCTCTAATGATTTTGTATAGTTCACGGACGGACAGACAGACATACAGACAGACAGACAGACAGACAGACAGATGAACTGGCGGACACTTCGCCTCATCATCATTCATTCCGCATGCGGAATGAATGAATTCCGCATGCAGAGATGCTGTGAATTTTTTTTCAGGCTCGCGCATACGGCACGACAATGAAAAAAGAACTATGCGGCCGCTTCTCAACGCGCGCAACGTAGTAACACAACTCTTTTCAACGTTTACCGTAATGGCGCCGTTTCCAGGCGCAGCCGCTAGGGGCTGGCGCTCAGTTGGAGCCGCGAATTTCATATGTGTAAACAGGGGCAAGATGCATCGATCGACATACTGAGGCGCTTGTAGTGACGTCACGACACGTAGGGTTCGCCCATTCTAGAGCTCATCTCTTCTCTCTATAATCACGTGACAACTGGCACAGCAGCCCCAAAGCAGCCTCCGAGCACAGCCCGTCGGAGAGCATTCCACGTGATCGAGCAGGAGGCTCCCCGACGCACCGTGTTCGAAAAAGCTCTATGATTTAGGCATGATCACGTGCCAGTTGCCACGTGATCGTAAAGACAGTAGTGAGCTCGGGACTGGGCTGAGTGCACACCGCGACGTCGCTACAAGCACATCAGCATGTCGACGACGCCTACCACTGTTTACAAACATACTCTACGTCTGTCTATAAGAACCTATTTGTCATCAATGATGAGAGGAGAATACGTCCTCCTGGCTGTGAGCCAGCCACAACAAACATTGATAGCAATTATGAGCTGACATAGAAGTTGTCTAGGATAGGTGCTTTCACCTAAATTGTTATGTTGCATTTCAGGTAACGTCGTAAACGTTTCCAGCGTTGCAGCAATAACACCGGTGAGTGGATAATAGAAATGTATCAGAGCTGCTTGCTTTCTACAAGCGTTGCAGAAATCTCAACAGGCTACTTCGTGGCCATGATTTCTAACCTTTGTAGAGACTTGAGTTCATTAGATGCATTGAAGAAGAACGGCTATTGGGCTAGTTGGTTAAAGTCTGGGTTAGAGTGCATTTTTAAAAGAGTTGCAACGCAAGCACGAAAGTGCTGAACGCAAAGCGTAACGGAAGGCAAGGCGAGGAAATGGAAGCAAAGAGAGACGATACGAGACCTCATTTTTTGTATTGTCGTTCCTCTCTGCTTTTCGATGCTTACCTTGCCTTCTGTTGCTCTTTGCCTTCAGCTATTTCAACATTCCTTAAACAGTTTTCTTCTTCGAAGTACGTAAGGGCTGCCCTGAAATTCAAATAGACATCGCGGTACAGTTTCAACAAAGTACTTTGCTCCAAGCAAGTTACTGAGAGTTATATCATGCGCTTCTCCCGAGTCTCGCTTCAAAACGCGGAGGCAGGGAGACAAAATCTCTTCAACGCTATTCACCACGTGTTTACAAGAGGTTTTCAGAGCCCAATATTAGGAAGAGCTCGGGATACGGGTTAATGGAGAAGGTCTTAGTAACCTGCGATTCGCTGATGACATTGCCTTGATGAGTAGCTCAGATGACGAATTACAGCTCATGATTATTGAACTGGACAGGAAAAGCGGAAGAGTAGATTTGGAAATATTATGCATTGAAGTAAAGTAATGCGCAATAGTCTCGGCAGAAATGGCATTTTGCGATAATTGAAGAAACGCTGGAAGTTTTTTTATACTCACATAGCCTAGAGGCCCAGAAGAAATCACTAAGGGGGAGGGTGGTAACATTGATTGGATCAAATAATATACAGAAAACTAAACAATATAACATAAATGCGTGAACAAGAGTAATAAAAACAAAAACATTTGAATGTTAAACAATGGCTAAATAAAAGCAATCATAGCAAGAAAAGCAAGCACAATTCAAACACTTGTCAATAAATAATACTTGCGTCAGAGAGGGACTCAAGTCTTGATAATGATTAGCTTCGAGCTTCAGGAAATGCTTCACGTGATTAACAAATGATTCTAGATACAGAGATACACAATGTGTGCATTGTCAGGAATATCTCTACTTAGGACCGGTAGTAAACGCCGAGCCAAGTCATGACAGTGAATTAAGTAGAAGAATAAAGATGGGGTGAATCACAATCGGAAATGATTCTCAAATCATGCATGGTAATGTGCCACTATCCCTCAAGAGGCAGGTATTTAGCAGCTGCATCATGTTGGTACTTACCTTCGGACCAGAAATCTGGTGGCATACAAAGGGAGTTCAGCTTAAATTGAGAACGGCGAAGCGAGCGATGGAAAGGAAAATAATAGGTGTAACCTTAAGAGACAAAAACAGAGCAGAGTGCATTGGGGAACAAACTGGGGCTAAGGATATCGTAGTTCAAATCAAGAAGAAATGGGCATGGGCTGGGCACGTAGCACGTAGGCAGAATAATCGCTTGTCATTAAAGGCCAACTCCGGCGACTTTTTCGAGGTCAACGGATCTCAGCTAAAATCGCTGGGTACGTTACTTTGCACATTCCCGTTATTTGTGCCGAATTGCACGCTTGAGATATGCGCTGATTGTTTGCAAATGAGTTTTAAAGATTGCCTCGAAAAGCTCCCCTCGCTTACCAAAATTATTAGCAGCACTGTCTGTGTGACGTCATGTTTGCCATGTAAACAGAAGTGACGCAGCCGATAGCATCGCTACTTTGGCCGCTACAGCGTTTATTGTGCTAGCCACAAGTCGACAATGGCGGTGTTGGGCACGAGTATAGCCCGGGAAACCTTTCTTCCTTCCTCTGTGGTGTTTGGCCGGCGCTTCCCTGCTCTAGCTTTGACAGTTTTCATACTCCGTGGCGGCGGAACCAGTATTGATGGTTTCACCAGAGCCTGCTGGTCTGTGGCAACATTGTGCGTTCACCGGGAAAGTGCCACTAGAAACTTCCGGTTTAGCTTGTTTTTGCGTGGTTTTAGCGTTTTTTTCTGGACGCGGCTGCTTGTGTTGCGATGTTTTACGCTGATAAAATTATTTTGATGAAGCGCTGACAACTCGAGCACAGCTGCGTCAAGCCAAGATGCAGCCTGCATGCCTGAATTAACTTTATACACCAGTCAAAACGTTCTGTTTTCTGAATGACGACGATAGAAAGAGTACCTGCATTGCAGTGATCACACGAGAAAACTGGATTCCCACCAAGAGCACGTAGGTTTGTTCTGCCCAATTCATCAAAGGAAATGTAAAGCTCAGCTCAGCGCAGACTAACGGCACAGAGGCGATACTCGGACGTTATAGACAATACAAGGACTAAACGACAGTATGTACCGCATTTCTGCTGTCGGCGCTTTGTTAACACCGAGAGCGTGATAATGACGCAGTGATACGTTTTTCGTAACATTTGGACATGCGAATATGTGCCCGAGGGTTGGTATGTGCCACTGGTATGCGAGTTTGTGCCACTACGTCAACGGAGAACGCACAGGCAAGGCCATAAGGAGCTCCATCTTTAAAACTTTATCGGGGTCCTGAAGGATTCCACCCCGTTTCAATTTTTGAAAAAATTGGCAGATCCCACGTACAGTGGGAATCGATGATATGCGAAGCAGAAATGAGGAAGGGGGATAGGTGACTTTAAAATCAGCAGAACATTAAGAGGCGGAGAAAAATTATGCCATACATAGACTTCCATGTCATGATTATCATGTTTGGACATTTCATTTACCTTCGTCATCTATTAACGTCACCTGATACCAACTTTGGTATATATGGAGCTTACGAAACGGCCGCGAGCGTGCTATGAAAGTACCATGCAGTCATGTTTTACGTGAAATTCATACCATAATTATCTTATTCGGACGGGTCATCTACATTCATCGTCCATTCACGTCACGTAATATCAAACTTAGTATATGTGGAACTTGTCAAAGGCCGTGAGAACGCTATGAGCGTAGCATGTAGTCATGTTTTACATGAAACGCAAATCATGATTTTCAGGTTTGGACGTGTCATTTACCTTCGTCGTCTATTTACTTCCCGTAATACCAAATTTAGTACATGTGGAGCTATCGCAACGGTGGCAAGCGCGTCATGAAAGGCCCAATATACTCCGACGCAACGTTGACGCATGCGAAAGCTAGGCGCAGTGAGGCCGCGCTAGCAAAACGCGAGCACTCTATAGTGAGACGCCAGGCACGACCAGCGCAACCAGCGTCCATCGGCACGGCCCGGTGGCCGCATTTCGCACTGACGATGTTACTTAGACAGCACCGCGTCTGCCTCTCTTCGTGACGGAGAGACGCCGTGTGCGCTCAAACGCGCATGCGTCAAAGCAACACAGCGCGGTGCGCACCTGCGAATATATGGTACGCAGATCCACGATCCACAATGAAGTTCAGTGGGCAGGTCCACTGATCTCTACTAGGGGGATATCGGCGCCTGGCGGGGCATCGCCGGTGCGACGCGATAAAAGAAACGCCGGCGCGCACGCGCGCTGGCTCACGTCGAAGTGTATTGATGCCTTCAGTGTGGCATGTATTAACGTTCTTACATGACACGCATCTCATGATTATAATGTTTGCACCATTCACATACCTTCGTCATCCGTTCACGTGACGTAATACGAAATTTCGGCATATGTGAAGGCATCGACACGGCCGTGAGCGCGTCATGAGTGTGGCACGTAGTCATGTTGTCACGTGACACGCATGTCGTGATCATCATGTTTGGACATCTCATTTACTTATGTAGTCCGTTCGGGTCACGTAATACTGAATTTGGTACATGTGTACATGTGAAGCTAGTGAAACGGCCGGGAGTGCATCATGAGCGTAGCATGTTGTAATGTTTTCACGTGACACGGCTCTCATGATTATCATGTTTGCACCAGTCATATACCTTCGCCATCAACTGACGTCCCGTATCACCGAATTTGGTTCATGAGAAGCTATTGAAACATCCGCAAGCGCATCATGAGCTTGGCATGTAGTCATGTTGTTACATTACACGCGTCTCATGATTATCATGCTTGCAAAAGTCACAAACCTTCGCCATGCATTCACGTCGCGTAATGCCGAATTGAGTATATGCAAAGCTAGCGAAACGGCCACGCGCACATCATGAGTTTGGCATGTAGTCATGTTGTTACATGACACGCATGTCATGATTTTGATGTAAGGGTCTGTCGCTTGTGCTCGCCATGCAGTCATGTCACACCATACCAGTTTTGCAAGATATCATGTGAATGAAACCACCGCAAGAGCAGCAAGATCACGACATGTAAACCATGATATTTATGACAGACACGTCATTTCAGGTTACGATTAGTCAGTTATGTTCCTCATAAAGTCATGATATATCATACGAAGTTTGGTATTGATACCATTATTCAAACGGCCAGAAGAGCTAAATGTCATAGATAGATAGCCAGCTAGCTAGATAGCTAGATAGATAGATAGATAGATAGATAGCCAGCTAGCTAGATAGCTAGATAGATAGATAGATAGATAGCCAGCTAGATAGATAGATAGATAGATAAATAGCCAGCTAGCTAGATAGCTAGATAGATAGATAGATAGATAAATAGCCAGCTAGCTAGCTAGCTAGCTAGCTAGCTAGATAGATAGATAGATAGATAGATAGATAGATAGATAGATAGATAGATAGATAGATAGATAGATGATAGATAGATAGATAGATAGATAGATAGATAGATAGATAGATAGATAGATAGATAGATAGATAGATAGATAGATAGATAGATAGATAGATAGATAGATAGATAGATAGATAGATAGATAGATAGATAGATAGATAGATAGATAGATAGATAGATAGATAGATAGATAGCCAGCCAGCCAGCCAGCCAGCCAGATAGATAGCCAGCTAGATAGATAGATAGATAGATAGCCAGCTAGATAGATAGATAG